TCTCAAATAAATAAATAAATAAAATCTTAAAAAAAAAAAGTATTTCTAAGAGATTACTTGGTTCTTACATTTTCAGAAAGCAATGATGTAAGAATGGTTAATAAAATGGAATGACCAGATTAAAAACAAAGCCTAAAAATACTCACCCTTTGACATTCCTGGCCAAACACCACCACCTCCATTATCGTCGTTATCCTGCCTACATTTACTGAGCAAATATGTCTTAGAATGGTTCCTAACCCATTACCTATAGCAACTCATTTAATCCTCAAAATAACCCTACAAAACAGGTGTTACTGGCAGCCTCAGTTTACAGGTGAATATACCCAGCCCCATAGAGGATCAGGAAGCTGCCAGAGTCACACAGCCAGGAAGATCTGACCAGGCAGTCTGGCTCCACAGCCAAACCTCTCAGCCACTCTGCTTAAGTCTCTGACAGAGAGGAAACTTTCTTCAGCTGGCGAAATGATTTAGAGCTCAGTTCAGTGTGGCTTCTGGGTAACCACAAGAAGTTCTAGAGTGAAGGGAAACCATGAGGCAGTGCTCTGAGGAGGCTATGTGACTGGGTTCTGAGTGGCAGGCTAGCAGCCAGACTATCCTTTAATAAAAACCGGTCTCTGCTGCCATACACTGTCAGTGTCCTTGGGGACTTTATGGGGAAGATATTCATTCCTTCATTCAAATATTTACTGTGCACCTGCCAAAACCAGGCCCCGGGCATTGTCCTGGGTAATGGGGATAAAGTGGTGAATGTGACTGGTAAGGTCCCAGCCCTCATGAGGTTTTCATTCTAGGAAGGGCACACAAGTAATATCATTTTAAATAGTGCTAAGAAAAGAGTTTGTAACAAAAAGGTGCCAATTTGTCAGGAGAAGTTCCACTGGAGCAAAAAGATTTTAAAGAAACTTGTGAATAAGGAAAAGGAGGGATCTTGGCTGGCTAGAAATTCATCCTGAGCAGGAAGAGCTAGAGCCTGGGAGAATTTCCAGGTGCTAAAGAAATGAAGGGGACGAGAATGTCAGATAAGCAGAGAGTGAAAGAGGTGGCTGGGAAGAGGAGACGCCTAGTAGGCAGTTGTATTTATGGGTGTGGGGCAGTTGGGGGGGGGGGTTCTACCCCCAGCTCCACACGACCAAAGGGGGACTCAGGGTTAAGGCTGTCCCCCTCCTCTGGACACCACATTATAATCCCTGCATATGTTCTCTCTGTATGTTGTTGTTGTTGTTGTTTGCCTTGGCAGGGGTTAAAATTGAGGATGGTGGTTTGTATCTTCTCTTCTCCCCTTTCATTTTAAATTAGATACATCAAAAATAGGTTAGCACCAATAAAACAGGCTTCTCTTTGCCCTGACTTTGGGGCAAAGGATCGTCCTTTCCTTTGTCCCCCTGCTCTCTCTCTCAAATAAATGAAATCTTTAAATAAAAATTAAAAAATTAAAAAAATAAAACCTCTAGAGAGTGTGTCACTGACATGGACATTATATTAGTCAATAGTGACTAATGGATTAGCACACATGAACCGTATGTAAGGTATCTGGGAAATTAACTGAACTACTATTCAATCTCTTAAACACAGTGATACTTATTTGGGAGAATCAGGAAATTACTGAACTTCTTTCTAGAAAAACTGGTTCACAGGTCCTTGAAAATAGCCCAAATACATGACAGGAGTTCTTTAACTTGGAATCTATGGAGTTCCTGAAACTGTATGTAAAATTGTGTTATTATATACACAGCCATAGGGTTATCCACTCATTAGAGAGCCAAAGGGGTTCATGAACCATGAGAAGTTTCAAAGTGTTCATAAGAAATCAAAATTTTCCTCTGGAATTTCTTATCATTGGAATAAATACTCTATAAAAAGACAATTCCAGCCCTCAGGGCTCTGACACCAAACAGAGTAGGCACTGTTCTACGTCCTTAAGAAACAAATAATTAGTATTTGGTACTCTGAAGACAGCAGCTATCCAATAAGAGGGGGAAGCAGTAAAAAGTAGTGGAAATAAGACTGCCCAGTCAGTACATGGTCCTGAATTCTAGGGCCAATTCTGCAACTGCCCAGCTATGTAACCTTGTGAAATTCAAAACCACACTGGCCACAGTTTTCTATTTGTATAATGAGGGAGTTTGGATTGCATTCAGACCTAAACTTTCATAGACTCATTGAAAAAATATATTGGCAGTCTCAGAGTTTGCTTTGGTGAGATTCTGTGTTTGCATATTAAAGGTGAAGTTCAAGGCAATAAGCAAAACATTTTTTTTTTTTCCTAAGTGTTGGTCAGCATCAGAAGAGAACCCATCTGTTAATGACAGGAACAGGATTCAGCTACTGAGAGACAAAAAGCAGATGAAAGAGATATAAAAAGATTTAACTATGCCATAAAACATGCTAATTATTTGTTGGGTCATTTACTGTTTATACACCCAGACTTCTCTCCTGGGATCTCCACCCATAAATACAACTGCCTACTAGGCGTCTCCTCTTGGATATCCTGCAGGCACTTCCAACTCTGAACTTGTCCAAATCTGAACTCATCATCCACCTCCCCAAACTGCTCCTTCTCCAGTGTTCCTTTTTTCAGTAAATACTTTCTCAGGCCAGAAACCTGGGAGTCATGTTTTGAGCCTCTTTCTCCTCCATACCCCCATACTCCAATCCATTATCAGGCCCTGTCTCTTCAAACCATAAAGGGAACTAATGTTTTCCATTCTCCACAGGCAATAAAAGTGATCTTTAAACATTAAATCAAATTTCTCTGATTAAAATGCTTTGATGATTTTGCATTTCCCTTGGGAAAAAGCCTGGCATCCTTCCTACTGCTTACCAGGTCCTCCAGAGTCAGCCCTCCTGTCTCTTCATCATCCTACTTACTCTTCCTGACACACATGCCTCTCCCCTCAGGTCCCTGCTCCTGTCTCAGGAAGTTTCCTCATGGGCTATTCCCTGTGCCTCAAATGCTGTCTCCTACTTTTATGTAGTTTCAAATACCTAAGAGGATTTTACTCCTCCGGCAAGCCTCCGCTCAGAGTCACTTCCTCAGGAAGTCTTCCAGACAACCCCCCACCACCAGGTTAGTTCCTCACTATGTGTTCTTAGAGTAGCTCATAGTCACACTTAGGTCACGTTTGTAACCAAGCATTGTCGGCTTCCCCAACAAATGTAAGCTCCAAGAAGACAGAAACCACATCTGTCTCATTCATTGTTGCACTTCCAGACACAGTATATGGCACTGAGTAGGTCTTTAGTAAATATTAAGGCACTTAAAAGAGAATTGTTTAAGAGAATTGGGTCCAACTTAATATTATAGCCAATGAAAGCTGATGTTTAAAATCTTTGCAATTTGTTGCACAGCATGAATACACCTAATGACACTGAACTGCATACTTTAAAATGGTTAAAATGGTAAGCTCTATAATATATATATCTTAGCACTATAAAGAAAAATCTCTTCAATTAGTGGTCAAAGATCACCTGTAACACTACCAACAACTGAAAATTAAAGGTAAAGTTTTCCCCCTAAAAATTAATGCTGGAAAAGCAATAATGTTGGAAAAGTTGTCTCAATAGGCTGTACTTATTTTTGATGGAGGATACCATAAAAAAAGCATACATTATCCTAGAGTAAACATTTTTTTTAAAGATTGTATTTATTTACTTGACAGACAGAGACACAGCGAGAGAGGGAACACAAGCAGGGGGAGTGGGAGAGGGAGAAGCAGGCTTCCCGCCGAGCAGGGAGTCCGATGTGGGACTCGATCCCAGGACCCCGGGATCATGACCTGAGCCAAAGGCAGACGCTTAATGACTGAGCCACCAGGCACCCCGAGTACACATTATTTTTAAGAATACTGGGCTACAATAATTTTACCTACAAGAAAAATTCTTTGCCACTGGAAAGAGAAAATATTTCTCAACTATATATATTTCTGTTTTCTTCATTACTCATTAAAGAAAAATTGAATGTTAAAAAAATGGGAAATACAGTAAGTAAAAAAAGTCCATAGTCCCATCTCTCAAAATCACACTTAACATTGTGTGTATGATAGCTACTTTATCTTTTGTACTATAATGAGTTCTGAATTTTGCTCTCCCTCCCTCACATAAACATTTTCATGTCATTACTTGTATATAGTCCCCTTTTAATGGCTACACAATAGTCTAAATTTATTTAACTAGCTTTCTTTATTTGGAAAAATTGGTTCTTTCCAATTTCTCGCCATTATAAATTATACTGAAAGCAGTACCTTTGAATACAAAGCTTTTTCTTTTGCATACAAAAGAGTATTTACTTAGAATATATTTCCAATTGCAAAGTCACTGCAACAAACACACCTGATATATTTTGCAAATTGATTTCTCAAAAGACTATACTAATTTATATTAGAAGCATGAATATATTTCCCAATATAGAGCATATCTTAAAAATATTTCTGTGAATTAAAATGTATGATCATAAGTAACAGTTACTCCAAAGAACATAGCTAGCTATTCTTCACTGCTTACATGAATAGGCACCATCTCTATGCCACACAGAGTAAGTCTAGGCTCCAAGAACAAATGTATGGTAAGTACCCAGCACAGACAGACACAGAATTTTAATTCCTTAAGTCTATGCCATACATTTAAAATTCAAATACTACAGGGAAAAACAATTGCTCTGCTGACCCTCTATATTCATTTAAATATACTGTCTATATATTAGGAGGAAGAGCAGTATCATTTGGACAATTTTTTTTTTAAATGTTTTATTTATTTATTCATGAGAGGCAGAGAGAGAGAGAGAGAAGCAGAGGCAGAAGGGGAAGCAGGCTCCCCGCCTAGCAGGGAGCCCAATGCGGGACTCGATCCCAGGACCCTGGGATCATGACCTGAGCCGAAGGCAGACGCTTAACCATCTGACCCACCCAGGCGCCCCTCATTTGGACAATTTTTAATGTTTAGTTGTTTAATTCATCTACCAATTTGTAAATGTATGGTATGCAATAAAGATCCCACTTTACATTCTCCCACACAGAAATCCAATTATATTAACTATATATTAAACAGTCCATCCACTTCCCCACTGATTGGAAACACCATCTATCATAAAACATACATGCATCTACTTCTAGACTTTCTATAACTTATTTTCCTAATAGTAACCATTATCACCATATATATAAAATGACACAAATTAATTCAAAAGTAGACAGTGATTATATTAAGGATATAGACTGTAATCTCTAGAGGTTGCTTCTAAACAAAATCCAAGACAAAGAGCAAAGCTAAAAAGCCCAAACAGGAGATAAAATGGGATACTAAGAAATAATCAACCTGAAAGGAGGAAAAAGAAATAAACAGGGGCGCCTGGGTGACTCAGTAGGTTAAATGTCTGCCTTCGATCAGGTCGTGATCCTGGGGTCCTGGGATCGAGTCCCCCATTGGGCTCCCTGCTTGGCGGGGAGTCTGCTTCTCCCTCTCCCCCCACCCCCGCTCGTGCTCTATCTCTCTCTGTCTCAAATAAATAAAAATCTAAAAAAAAGGAAAAAAAAGAAATAAACAAATGGGACAAATAGAAAACACAGAGTAAGATGGGACACTTAAACCTAATCATAGGAAGAGTTACATAAATATAAATGGATTACGCTCTCCAATTAAAAGGCAGAGATTTTCAGACCCAAGTACTTGGAAATAAAGTTACCCTCTAATAGTTAAATACGTAAAGTACATTCAATGGATGATAGCAGTTACCTGTAGTAGCAACCCCAAACACTGTGTGCAAATGCATGAAATGACTGTGAACACAACCTAATGGAGACTCCAGGATAATCCACAGGGGAAAAAACTGGAACATGAGGGCAGTTGATAGCTGACATTTGATATTTTATGTTCATTCACTTGTTTAATTTTCACAAAGACTCTATGAGGAAGGTACCCCTTGATACCCATTTTATAGGGGAACAGACCAAGGCCCAGAGAGATTGAACCATGTTCACAGGATCACACGCCAGTGAGTCCATGCTCTTAACCACCCTGCACGGGCTCTCTGCAGAAGCTATCTAATTAATCTGTGCAATTGTACCCCTGCACCTGAAAGGCACCATGTCACCAGAGAGGAGGTGCTGAGCAACAGCAGGAGGCAAGAGTAGTCAGTACGTCTCCTGCCTGGCCCGGGTGAGGGAGGACCTGACCACTGATCATGCAGTTTCCTGGGCAGGTGTGTGCCTGTGGCAGAGATGGCCCCATCACACGATACGAACCTGAGAAAACTATTCATCAAGATACTTTTTTCAACAAACGTTCTTGCTTTAGTTCCAGGACCCATCAAGCCCTTATTCTGACTTTGTCAGCAAAGGAGGAAGGCCCTGACCGAAGCAGGCAAATATTCTAGTCCCTTTGAAAGTTAGCATTGTCATTGTAAATAAGTAAATTGGCATCTGCCTTGTGTTTCAGACTCTCCTAAGTTTATTAAAGCATGACTCAGTGCCTCAGAGTGTTCTCACCTCTGAGTAAAAAGTGAAAATAGGACTTCTGATCCTTCAGACCTTTGGAAGAAAGTTCTGGACTGGGCTGACCCTGGCAAAGCTAAGTTCTCACAGGAAGCTGCACAAACACTGGACAGGCTGGGCTCGAGGGGTCAATTGGGCCCTCTCAGTGCTCCTGTTGTCTAACTACAAGAGCACGAGCCAAGAAAAAAGATGATAATAAATGCATAAGAAAGAATCTCTAAGCATGCCGTAGAGCATATACATGGAAAGTTGCCTAAAAGATGAGATCCTTATTCATTAGATTTAACCAAATTATTTATCAAAGAACATTCCTCCAGAGAGTCCTCTGCAGAGTTTCACATGAATCACTCATGCCAAACAGTTAGAAAACTGATTAAAAAAAAAAAAAAAGGAAGAAATCTACCTCAGAACCACAAGGTACCAGCAAGATAAAGGCATTCCATTAAGACCAGGTAAGCTCAGTACAAAATTATCAACCTGAACAGGGATTGGCCAAAATGGAAAAAAAAAATAGTGAAGGCCCATAAACATTCTCCATCACAACCTGCATGTACAGTCCTTTTATATTTGATATTAAAAATCCACAGAAATGATTCTTCCTTGAAGAAGCCCATGAAAACTCCCACCTAAGCTACCTGCCCACCCCTCACTGATTCATTCAACCCACATTTTTGCACAACTCCTCTGAGCCTTCCCCACCCCATACTAACACTGCAGTGCTTCTCACACTGTATATGACTCCATCTCCAACACTCGCCCCTGGTACCTGACTCACTGGCTCCCTCCCTTCAGTCAAAGTCACCTGAGCAGAAATGCCTTTCCTGAGCCATATGTAAAAGAGCACCTTCCAACCCCAGCACTCTCTATCTTGTTACCCTACAGTATTTTTCTGCAGAGCACATATCACTAACATATTTTTTTTATTGTCTACTTCCCTTGGTAGCAGGAACTCTACAAGACTGGGAATTTTGTTTTGCTTTCTATGGTATCTACAGAATTTAGAATAGTGCCTGTCAAGAGAATACAATATGAATAAAATACTTGTGGGCGCCTGGGTGGCTCAGTCGGTTAAGCGACTGCCTTCGGCTCAGGTCATGATCCTGGAGTCCCGGGATCGAGTCCCGCATCGGGCTCCCTGCTCGGC